GTCAGCACTGTGGTGGGGGGGGGGCTTGGAAGGGCTATAGCCACCCCAAAATTTGCCTTAGCTCCCCCATAGTCACCCCTCCCAGCACCACTGCCATCATCTGCCCTATGTAGCTGAGCCCGCCCCGCTCCCACCCCTCCAAGCCCAGTCCCAGCCCAGCCCCGCAACTGGGAAGAGGCTGGCACTGCCCTGACCCCAAGCCCGAAGCGGCAACCCATCTCCACCCTGTGCACAAATTCAGGGGGGCACATGCCCCCTCATGCCTTCCTGGGGGTGTGCTGAGCAGCAGGGAGCTGCCCTTGCCCCCACCTCCTGTGCCCCCGGGACAAGTCCATGACTCTGTCCCACTCCCTGCTCCAGTCCCAGGGTCCCATTCACCACCCACCCCAACCCTACTCCCTCCCTCACCGTGGGGGCCTTGATCTGCCCCCCCACAATGCCCCTTCCCTCCCCCATGCCCCTTCATCCTACACAGCCTTACCTGCAGAGAGCTGCTCTGCACGCTGCCCAGGTCCATTCCTGTAAATCGGTGATTAGATCAGTATCGATCAATATGCTGGTTAATAATCAGCAATGGGTATTGGCCAAGAAAATCTTTATCAGTGCACCCCTTGTTTTTTTACTGCCGTTTTCTGAATTCTCTCCATCTTGTCAATATCTTTCTGTTGAGAAATGGACATAATATCCCAGGTGCAGTCAATTCAACAGCTGTAGGCTATCAAGTCCCTTGATATTGGTACCTTTGGGGTGTCTATATGCAATTTTTTGTGCAGAAAATTCAGGCATATTAAGCTGCTTCCAGGCACACATCTGAATGTGCACCTGCATTGGGAGCAAATTTGCTCCTGACAGGAGCAGTTCAGTCCAGGGCTGCTTCTGCCCCCCTGCCCTGCTCTGCTTCCAGGGTCCCCTGGGGCCAGCCCGCATCTGGCAGGGGGAACAGGGGTCAGACCTGGACTCCAGGGAGCAGGGAGGAGCTGTCCTGGAGTGGTGGACAGTTCCCAGCTGCATGGAGCTTGGGACTACAGCCCAGCTTGGCAGCGCTGTCTTTGGGCAATGCCCTGTTCCCAAGCAGGAGTGCCCTAATCTCTCTCTCTTTGCTTTGCTTGCAGGCAGTGGAAGAGGCCACAATTAACTTGCTGGATCAGTCAAATCAGCGTCTGGGGCTGTCTCTAGGCGAGCACCTTCCCCTTGAGGAGCCAGGGCTTGTGCAGTAGGCCGAGCTACCCCACCTCCCCAGCCTGACCTAGCTGCACACTCCTGGCCTGAGGGACTGCGGTGAAGCCTCGCTTCAGCAACTCCCAAGCCCTGTTTGTGATGATGCTGGTGTGATCTGAGCCTTAGGAGAGATGCACAGGGCTGGCAGATAGCTGCACAGCACAGCACAGCACAGCACAGCACAGCACCCCCAGATGCCTTGTCCTCCTCTGTCAGCAGGGAGAAGTGGATCCCCCCAAGTCATGGTATAGGTCCTGCCTTGCCTGGCACTGGCAGGAGCTGGGGTATGGGCTGGGGGATCCTGGCTCATTGCTGCTCTCCCTCGGCTGAGTTCCTTGAGAGGCAGAGCAACCTCGAGACACAGAGGATGGCGCTCACCGAGAGCTGGCCCCAGAGACTGGAGCAGGGTCCAAGGTTGCTGAGTGGGCAGATGCCTCCTTACCTTTCTTGATGATAGACTGATCCAGGAAGTTCATCCTGACCTCCTCTACCACCTGCAAGCAAAGTGAGGATACAGAGCAAGGTGCTGCTGTTGCTCGGGCACTTTGCGTCACCCCAAGCCAGTGCTGTCAAGCTGGGCTGTGACCCTGAGCTCAGCATGGCCGGGAGCTGTCCCTCACTCCAGGACAGCTCCCCCCACTCCCTGGAGCTTGGCAGCTGTGGCCCCCTGCTGCCTGAGCTGACAAGGAGCAAATTGCTCCCAGCCAGTGTCTACATGTGCACTATGCCGCATTAAACTAATACGCCATTTTCTAGTACTTGTCTCTGTCAGCACCCGCAAATGGCATATTAGACTAATCTAATACACATTAAGTGCATGGTGACACTTTCCTTAAAGCGTCTCGTATAGACACGTCCTCTGTGAACACAGTTCTGAATTGCACAAGTTTGTGTGGTTTTTGACCAGTCTGCTCAGTTTATGTGGATAGCAGATTTGAATCGGCATTCTTCAGGTATATATTGTATGGATCCCACTGTAGAGGCACATGCATCCCCTGTCCACAAGGTTAAATTTTAGTTATCGCATCCCTTATGGGATGGCGCATGGGTCCTGTCTATCATCTCCTGCCTAGATCCTATAGGACTGAGAGCTTGGATTCTGGGTTTCTAGCCTGCTGTTTCTCTCCAGGCTTCTCTTCTAGATTAGGTTAGTAAATAAAACCTACTTCACCATCCTTAATTCTTGATTTTTTTGGATATCCCATCTCTCTCCCCTTGCCCATAAAGAAAAAAAATGGGCAGTGCACCTTGCACCTGTCACTGGAACAAGTGGCTTCCTGATGTTTGGCAGGAATGTGTACTCTTTATCATCTGTGAGCAGCTCTGGAGCCATTATGGGAGCTTCCTCTACCAAGGCACCACCGCAGTAGAAATGCCTGGTATTGAACCAAGCCAGCCACAGCGGGGCCAGTATCCTTTAAGATCTCACCCCAGATGCCCTGGTGCTATAAGGGACAGTCATCTCAAGTCTCCTGCAAGAGATCTCCCTGCCATAAGTCCAGAAAGAGGGGAGTTTGCTCTTCCTCTCTATCCAGACCACTGATAGTAAGTATATCCTTTGCCAGCACCCAGAGAACTGTGAACAGGGGAGGAACAGCAGCATACTTGGTCTGCACAAGGGTGGAGAGTCATCCTCATGGGGCTGCCATACCCACCTCTTCCCTGACTCAGGTTCAGGTCCACCCAGGTTCAGGATTGGTAGATGTGGCATTGCAGGAAAAATCAAAGTTGAGGAAAAGTGCCCCTGCAGACCAGGACTCCAGAAGCCCACATCCCTTGGAGGCAAAGAGCCAAGCCATCTGCCTCATTGCAACTCCATGCAGCAAACTACAGGAATTCTCTGCAAAACAATATTTCCTGACTCAGAAGGGGAGGAGTTAGAGGGGCTTATATTGCCACTGACTAGGAGAGTAAGAGAGCATCAGGCACTTGTTATTTGAACCCCTGTGCTGGATATTTTATAGGGACAATATGTTATTCATTGTTCATACCTTAAAATAGTCTCAGATTTTGATCTAAACCAGCTGATAAATCTATATATCTTCCACAAATCACCACACTTGGCTCTGCAAGAAAAAAAATTACTCACAGTAGAGGTACCCAGGATTTTGCTTCATTATATTGACGAGACCAAACCATTTGGCTCAACCCCTTCTCTGTTTGTAGCCATAAATGAGCCTTCTAAAGGTCAAGCCATCTCTTCACAAAGAATATTGAAATCAATAACGCAGTGTGTGCTGCTATGTTACTTCTCCTTGAACATCAAGGCTGTTTCTGCCAGAGCACAAATACTTTTGTGGGGTGCCTCTGAACATCTGCTAGCCAGGAATTTTAATGAAACAGATTTATGCTCTAACTGGAACTTCTTCCTTTATTGCTTATGTGCTTTTTCCCCTCTTCGGAGAGTCCAGACATTTTGAAGAAGTGATACTGTGAGGGGTACATGGTGATGTAAGTTTTGGGGGGAATAGAGCTGTGCGTGTGGCAATTGATCCTTTTTTTCAGTTGACTGGGCAAAATGCAAAACAATCTATAAAGAAAAAATATATATTTTTGGTGGAGCTAAAATGTAAATTCTCAATTTTATGTCAAAATGAAAAGTCAAGCATATGCTTAAGGAAATATTGCTTTAGCTTTCTAGCTTGGGATTTTTTTAAATTTAAAGTAAGTTTAACTACGAGATATTCTTGCAAAGTGAAACTGAAAGATTTTGTTTTAGAAATATTGAAATGAAAAGATTTAATTTTCAGGGGGTGGGGTGGAGGGTGGGATTTTATGGGGGATTGTTTTACCCCAAACAATTGGAATTTGTCACACATTCCCAAAACATTTTGGTTGGCCCAAATCTATTTATTTTCATCAACAAGAAAATGTGTCATTTAAAATTTTGTTTTCCCTGTTCTATTTGGGCTAATGGGTGGGTAGCAAAAAATCTGGGACTATGCTGCTGTGCAACCGTGATTGCAGAGCATGGTCTGTTAGTGGAGAGAAAGTTCTAAACGATTCCTCGAATGTGCTGGTGTTTTGCCTGCAGTACAGTAAAATGGAAGATGGCACAGAGAATGCCACTTGAGCTGCCCCCCGCCTCTTTTTAAACTGCTCAGTCATACAAGATAAAAAGACGTGCAATGAAATTAAAGTCTTTGTGGCTCCAGGCAGGCACAGGGGTTTGCCTCCTCAAAGCTGCTGGCAAGATCAGAAGAAGGGGTTCAGTTTAGGTCAGTGTTGGGATGGGATACAGACAGCAAAAGCCCAGCATAGGTAGGTGTCTTTCCTGGGAGCGCATGTCAATCAAGTCACGTGAAGTCAGTCCCAAGGCCGCTGTGACCATTGGGGCACCTTAGATGCTGTAACAACCCTCCTCTACTCTGCTAGCTTTGTGCACTCTGTCAACTGAAGCCCCATCCAGTGCTTGATACTGGTTCCCCAGCTCTTCTTGGATCTGCCTCTTTTTCTCTTTTCCTCCACAGCGCCCTGCATTATGGTGTTGGTCAATCGGTGTTCCACAGTGGTGCAAGAAAACATTGTAGGGTGCTGATGTGCTCTGTTAAAGAGGAGCCCCCAGAGTGACTGTATTTCATTAACAAGGAAGTGACCTGTGGGTGTACAAAGAGTACACCTCGGACTATAATTGTGATCTTGAAGCCATCAGATGTGGATGTCACAGCTAGTATTCATAGCTGCACATGAGCTTGCACTCAGTCCCCTGAGGGCACTTTGACCTGTATTGCACAATACAATGCATAGGTTTTTATTTATGCATGTATTTATTTTCCATCTAGGCCTTGGCCATACACAATATTCCAGCGCGGATTTGACTTGGTACTGGGAGAGCAGCCTTCTGATAAGATATTTAGGTAAGTATGTTTGGTTTTTTTAAGGGTCCCAGCCAGATTCCGTCGGCCAGCATCAGTCTTGCATCCAACAATAGATCCCCTTCCTTGTGTCTGTGCAATCCTGTGATGCTGTGGAAGCATTAGAAGGAGAGAGCGGCTTGGCCAAATGTGAATAGCATTGTGGCCTGTTTTGACTGGACTGATGGATCTTCTTCAGCCACATCAAAGTTGCTTTGTTAAAAACACTAATGCACTGACTGAAGTGAGTTATTGTGGGGGTACCTACATGTGTCTCCAGTTGAAGGCAGGCAGGGTGTGGTTTGGGGTAGAGCTGATTAGGTTTGCACATGAAGCTGTTCTGCTCATGCATTATTTGTTTTTTTACTATTCTATCTGGGCCCTGCCTTTGTAGCTCTGAAAAATTCCTGCTTCTGTTTCCCTAGTACATGGTTGCACAAGTGTTTTTTCTTGTGCTGAGGAATTCCTGCCTTTCAGGTTCCCTCCTGCTGGGTTCATTTCCACACACACGCTCCTCCAAGGTGGGTATCTCTCATGCCTAGACCTCACTCGTTCCACAGCGGACACGGAAAACCACACCTTGAAGTCCTTTTTTTCTGTTTGGCCATTGCACAGGTGACACTCCTGTACAGGTCAGCCAGATGAAGATGGAATATTTCTCCAGAAAGCACTTCTGAGGTTGGCCCAAGGGGAAGAGGGGCCTGATTAGGGACCTCAGGAGTTGCCCTTAGCAAGGCATGGCCTCTGGAAGGCCTTGCTTTCTCTCCTTTTCCACTTCTTCCATATCTCCTTTTTAGAGGTATTTTCATTCACAATTCGCATGCATTAACAAGTGTGCACAAGAATGGGAGAGGAACAATAAGAAGTGGGGTGGTGGGGAATAAAGAAAATAGCAGAGGATACCTGCTGGTACTGGATGAGGTAGCAGATCAGGGTTGTGAGCACTTGGAAGGGGCAGCAGTGGGTAGAAAAAAGGAGCCTGGGTTTTGCTTGTCTATATGCCACTGAATCCTTCTGTGAATCTGGACAAATCTCTTTCCTTCAACATGCCTCAGTTCCTCCATTGGCAAGAAGAGGATAGTAATAATAATGTAGGGCTCTGTAAAGCACCTGCAATGAAGAAAGCTAGGAAAACTATTGTAATTGTTCCCTTAATTGAACATGCTGCTCTTTTCCCACAGTTTTGCCCCACTTTTCCTCCATTTCCATCCTTCTCCTACTCCTCCACCTTTTTACATGCATCTCTTTGGAAGGGAAAAACGGTTTATAAACACTGAGCCGGCGTCTAATGACGAGCCTGCTACTTGGAATGGCTTCCTCCAAACCACTGTAGCAGCGATGGCACAAGGCAATTATCTCATATGCTTCCACTCCAGCAGAATCAGAGGTGCCAGCGACTGCTGGGACCTCATTAGCTGAGTATTTAGCTCCCCTAGGACCCAGCATGATGCCTCCTAGCTCCCTGAATATTCATTGATCCTGTGCATGTTGCTTTTTCTCAGTGCACTGTCACATTGCTGGCTTGCCGCTGGGAGCAACGGGCGGGATGCGACAGTTTGCTTCCAGCATGGGAATGAGGGAGGTACTATATACACGCAGCTCGGGTCCACAAAGCATATGCCTGTCCACAAAGCATATGCCTCCAGCGCTGCATGATGTACTCCTGTCATCCTGTTGCACCCATTCTGGCATCAGGGGGCACTTTTGTAGAGCTTACTCTGTCCCCTACCAGTATATATAGGCTGCTCCCTTCCTGGGGGGATTCTCCAGCCTGTGGGAGTTTGGCTTTTATTCTGAGTGGGTCTCAGCATTTTCTCTGCTGTCTCATTGCTCAGGTGGTCTGTCAAGTGCATCTAGGCTTGGCCTAGGTCTCTTCCTTTGGCCAGAGTCTGGGGAGCAAGTGGGTTTAGCCAGCAGGGATTGGCTAGCATGCCAGAGGGCAGGAAAATAGGTTATTCTTTAATATCACAATTTGATGCCACTATGGAGAATTTTGGTCCAGGCATTCAGGGCCCATGGTCCTAGGGGACTTCAGTGCTCTTAGATTTCTCACGTAGTGGGAAAAGAAACTATTACCAAAAAGAAGAACCCTCCCCACAGAGGACACACTGTTCACCCAAACCCATACAGGGAGCAGGCTCTGCAGAGACTGCCAGCTGAATGGGTGATGGACACTGGACTTCCCTCTTTTATTATGGGAGAGATCTGTCCAGGGTGGCAGGAAAAACCTGCAGTGCCAGCATTCTCCTTTGTTCTGGAAATAAGCAGAATTGTTAACAGCAACATCCTATACCTGCTGTCTCTCCGAGGCAGAGCGTATGATTGTTCCTCTGGAACAGGATGATATGCCATCTCTGTAACTAGCTGAATGGCTCTTGGCTGGGACCCCTGACTGCTTCTGTGCAGTCATGTTGCCCTCTGCTGGGGAACATAGGAATTGCTAAACAGTAGGTTCCTACACCCCTGCTAAACAGTAGCACATTTTTACTCCAGGGTAGCGTTTTTGCCAGTGGTGGGCACCAGTTGCTTTTGAGTAAGAGCTCCTGTGATGTCTAATCTTAGGATATCGTGCCCCCATGAAGTGGTTCCTTCTGATATCTATCCGTGTAAGCATGGGTTAGGCCCTGAAGCAGGAGGAAGCTCTTGCAACAATAAATGTCTCCTTTATTTTGTACTGAATCCAAGTAGCATCTGGGTGCTTGGGGGTACGGGAAGAGGTGGAAGGAACAAAGAGACATGGTCCCGTGTGTACTGACATGCTCAATGTGTTGCTCACATGGGTCTGGTTTTTCTCATTCAGCATTTGCACCTGCCCACTGCTGCTCCCTTTTGTGTAGTCAGGGTGAATAGCTGGTCCTCCTGCAGCCCCTGTGCTCATATCCACCTAGGCTGGCTTTTATCTCACTGGCTCTAGGACACACTGAGCACAGAATGATTGAACTCCTTTGAAATGAGTGAATAAATAAAAGAATAATCTCTCGCTGTTCCCTTAAGCTCCCTGCCAGAACACTGATGGATTGGTTTATTTTGGGGCAGGGAGGCAGGGCTGCAGCTCCCCAGGCGCACAGATGGGGCATCTCTCCATTCATAGTATCTGACAAAAGTTATTGCCTACAGAAGTTCATGCCTCTGAACCATTTAGTCACTCAGGTGCCACCCTGCCCTACCTTCTGCCTGTGTGAAATACAATAGGAGCCCCTGTCAGGATCAGGCTTCACTTGGCACAGTTTAGACAGCTGGCCTTGAAAGCTTGCAATCTAACTAGCTACATGAAGAATTGTTTAACCCCATTTTGTAGATGAGGAACTCTTAGAGAGACTGAGACTGGGATTTCCAAAGGAAATAGTTACCTGCCTTCAATAGTATTTGGAGTCTTCCACTGACTTACTTAGAGATCCCAGCCTCAGTGACTCATACAGGGTGTCAGTCCTTGGGAGACCTGGCAGCTGAACCTGCATTACCAGAGTCCTAGTCTAGCACATTGATTACAATGCACCATTTGTGTTCTCCTGCTCCTGTTCCTTCTCAAACTTTCTTCCCCTTCCCCTTCCTCTCCCCCCTCCCCGCCTCTTGTAGTTTTTAGGTGCTACAAACTCCATAATAAAGCAAAGAGCCTGTACCCTTTCACAATGTACCTAGCCTGCCTTGGGAGATAGAAAGGAAGATCTAAGGGACAATGCATATGATGCATGCTCCAAAGATCTGGGTTCAATTTCCAGCTCAGCCACCAACTTTCTGGATCTTCTTGGGCATATCACTTCATCTGTCTTATTTCCAAGTTCCCTACCCAGGAAATGGAAGCACTCACCTACCATGTGAAGCCGTTGTGAGAGTAGATGCTTTATAACACTTTGGTAGATATCCAGGTTTTCCTTCCCATGCAGGTGCTGGGGTTAGAACTGTATCTGAAGCCTATCCAGCTGCTGCAATGGGCAGGCTTTAGCAGGAGTGTCAGTCAGTGTTTCCTGTCTTTGCATGCACTCACCTTCCTGCTCTGGTTGAATGTAGGAGGGAGTTGCTACACTTTTCTAGTCATTGGTTCTTACCCTGGTCTCTGTGTGCTGCTTGGCAGGTTCACCTACACCCTGGGGGAAGGGATGTGGCTGCCTCTGAGCAAGAGCTTTGTGATTCCACCTGCTGAGCTGGCCATCAACCCCTCTGCCAAATGCAAAACGGACATGACAGTGATGGAGGATGCGGTGGAGGTCAGGTGCGTATGTCCTTGAGCTGGAGGCAGCAGAAGCTAAGAGTGCCATAGTAATGTGGGGTGGAAGGTGGGGCTCAAATGGACAAGGCAGGATTTGGCACTGGAGGAACCATAGCATTGTTCTCCTCCAGTGCAGCTGCCTGTTCCATAAAGACATCCGGGATGTGGGCTGTGCCTTATAACTTATAGAAGTTGATGAGAGTTTCTCCACTTTTCTCAGGGGACTTTGCATAAGGGCTGTATTGTGTACGTCAGACCACCTTTTACATGCATGTTTCTTGGAGAGAGTTTAGTACCTTATTCAGATCGTGGTCTCCAGTGCCATGTTTGCTTACACACTAGAGCTAACCTTCCAAAGATCATTTTTTTGTTCCCTATTGGTTTTCATATTCTTCCAAATCTACCCCTTGGGTCTGTCTTGATTGTCAGCTCATAGGGGTTAAAGCTAGTCAGCTTAATAGGGTTTTTTTACAGTCTAGACTACAAGGGACTGAAACTTCTTGGGGTCGTGTTTCAACAGCATTGAGTATTGCACTTGCAACTGCAAGCAATTGCACTTACAGTAATTTCTGTAATATGCATTATATATATATGTGCCAGCAAATAGCAGAGGGGCCAGTTGCATATTGGGAGTGTAGCAGTCAAATTGGCACTTGCCATCAGTGTATTTTTGTACCAAAAATGGCCACGCAGCTGTGTATCACAGAAGGTGCAAATGTGTGCTATTGTATGTGTGAATGTGGCTTGTGGTGTCTGTACTCATTAGCACTTTATAACGAGTGGAATGAAACATACTATGTTCAAGGGCCCAGGTTCCTTAATATGTAGCTTTTCCTCTTCTTGCAGGGAAGAACTGATGACCTCCTCCTCCTTTGATAGCCTGGAGGTTCTCCTGGATTCATTCGGACCAGTTCGGGATTGCTCCAAGGACAATGGTGGCTGCAGCAAGAATTTCCGATGCATCTCAGACCGCAAATTGGACTCCACCGGTTGTGTGGTGCGTGTGTCCTATTCAGAAGCCAGTGCTTGTTTTGTTTGTCTTTTATGCGATAAGACAAGTAAGGGAAATTGCCAGAATACTTTGCAGAGAGGAGGGGAATGAAACCAAATCAATCCAGGACTTTACACGGTACTGTTTTGCGGAGGGTTCTGAATAAGCAGACAAAGAGCCTGCATTACAGCTTTACTTCAGCTCTCCCAGCAGCATCTGACTCATACATCAGGTGCTTTTCCCTACTTCTTACAGTTTTCTAGGAGTCAGTACCAGGGGAGGTCTGAATCAGGCATTCTGCTAACACGATCATATTAACTAATTTAAAGCTGTCTGGGGAGTACTGCCCCCTTCTAACTGCAGATATTTTTATACCTCAAAACAGGACAGTATAGATAGAAATGTCAGCCTGTTTCTAAGTCTTGGAACTTGGTTGGCTTCTTCATTTGCCTTGAGTCTAAGTTCAGAGCTGATGGAGGACCTGCTGGTAACCATCAATTTAATGCAGGGGTCGGCAACCCCTGGCACATGTGCCAGAACATGGCACTTTAAGCCATTTTTCTTGGCACGCCACAGTTGGTCCCAGCGCTGGGTAGGCTGCTGCTGCCCACCATAAAACCTGGTCAGAGCCTGGGCTGTTCGCAGGTGGCAAGCAGCCCCGGCTTCAACGTGGGCATCAGGGTCCTGCCCAAAGCCTGCGCTGCTTGCAGCAGGCAGCCACAGGGCTGTAAGCAGCTGCACTAGGGTCCAGAGCCCCAGCCCAGCTCATTGCCGGTGGTGGCTGCACACATGCCTCAGGGAGCACAGTGGGGAAGGGACTAGGACTGTGCTGCCACAACAAGCATTGGCCCCTTGAGGATTCCTGCCATCTTCCCCATCATGGTACCATCTTTCATGTTGAGGTTGCGGGTTTTTTTGACATTTGGCCCCAGAACATTGCCAACCTTGATTTAATAGCTGTTGGAGATGGTCCCTTGCTCAGTAGCACTGGCCTTGGGGGAATGGCTGTTGGGAGAATATATCACCAATCAACAGAGCTTGTAGAAAAGTGACTGGTTCCTATTGCAGTGCATGTTACATCAATTTAGACCATCTGAGTCAGTGTTTCCCAACCTAGTTCCCCGCTCCAGGGACACTAGCTTGGTGCAAGATGGGAAAGAAGAACAGTAGCTTCAGCAGTTGACCCTCAGGTCCTCTTGGCTGTGGACATGCTTCTGTTGCTACAGGTAAATCAGCAGGTAGCTCTTTGGAAGCCTTCCAGCTTTCTTCCCTGGTCCTTTGTCCAGCTGCAGAAGCAATACAGGAGAGCAGGAATAGGCTGCAGTCTGTTAACCCCATCTACCTTCTGTTCCTATAGTGCTGCTGGGTGTCCCTCATGAGAAACAGTTTGTAGTTTCTGAGCAAGTTAGGGCTTGGAAAGGCTGAGCGGTCATGCGAACGGGTGGAGGAGAGCTCAAGGAGACAGATGACAGTCAGGGGTAAATGGTTAGAAAAAAGAGAGAAAATGGACAAGGATAAATGCTAATGGCAGTTGTGGCAGGCATGGGAGAGACGCAGCATTGTGGGAGAGCGGTGTGTGTGTGTGTGTGTGTGTGTGTGTGTGTGTGTGTGTGTGTGTGTGTGTGTGTGGAAGGGCATTGCCACTACTCTGTTTCCATCATGCCATGAGGCTGTGGCAGAGAAAGTGTTGCAACCTCTGACTGAGGAGAGAGCAGTTCCATAGCAGAGAGATGCTTTTTTGATAGCCCATTATAGAGGTTCATGAGTGGCTCTCCTGTGTATGTTTCTGGTGGTCTTAGGTTGAGCATTGCAACCCTTCCGTAAGGAAGGAGATGGTAGCTGGAGTGGATACAAGGACTTTTGCCAGTATCTCCCCAGCTTGGGGATGATGGGTGATGATGTGAAGCCTCAGTGTCTGCCACACACCAGAAAAAAGGGTAGCGTTGGATGGATATTGTGATCCGTTCCACCAGGGTGTGGCTGAAGGGCCTTGCAGAAGCAAGAAATCAAAAGGATCTGGGAGATGGATCCATGTGTTGGCAGAATGTATTCTAGCCGGGGTAGTCCGTTACCTATTTGGGGGGTGGGGAGAGGTCGTGATGGAACTGGCAAGGGGGAAGCCTGTGCATCTCCACACATCCGTCCCCTTTCTCCATGATATGCCAATACTCTCATTGTTGCTGCATATACATAAGTCCTGTTGCTTGTAAACGGGCCTTGTTGTAGTGTTTCCAGAGTGGGGGAAATGTTTCCTGTCTGGCCTGCAGATGAAGCTTCCATCTCCCCCGTCCCTTTGCCATTTTACACACAGGTGCCCACAAACGGCAGCAGAAGCAATCTGTCTGCTGTGGAAGCAAGCTGTGAAGCTGTTAAGCATGTCTCATCGTTCACACCCTTCCCCAGTCACCTCTGCACCTGCTCAGCTCTGGGAAAAGCACTCTGCCAAAGACTGATGTATTAATGGGGTTGGGAAAGTGGAACACGCCTCACACCATGACCTCCAAAACTTCTGCCGAGGGGCTGCTGCTCCCAGCTGCACAGCTCTTCAGAGGCAGAAGCAATGCCAAGTGTAGGTGAGCAAGGAGACAGCAGCTGAAACCCAGCATCATAGTAGTCAGAAATGGAAACATCCTCAGAGGTCCCCTTGGGCTTCCTCCTCAGCCCCCACAGCTTCCCAGGGGCCATCCTACTTATGGTTTCCCAGCCCTTTTTCTTAAATCACTCTGGCAGCAGGCACTGCTGCCTCTTCTCCTGGGAGCCTGTTCCACCCCAGGGCCATCTCATGGCTAGGGAGTTCTTCCCTTGATTTTCTCATGGCATTTCCCTTGGCTGGACATCACCCCAAAATTGTAGTGTCAGCTTCTTGGCCTGCCCTCAGTGACAGCGTAGATTGGTGACACAGAAGGGGAATAGGTAGAGAATGAGGAAAAGGGGGAATTGGACTTAGGGGCAGGTGGAGATTCTTTGATCCATGACTGAAGCAGGATGCACCAAGGTGAGGCAGCATATCCAAAGGCACTCGCTGTGCTCTACAGTACACCCTGTCCTTTGAGTTTGGCTCTGCCTTGCTCACAGCAAGTGCCCATGCTTTTTAGCTAGTCCCGTTGGGACTCATGGTGGTATAATATTCCCCTATGTAACCACCTTTTGGATCTTGTTCTTCCACTGGTCCTCTTTGAGTTGTGTATCCTGGCATCATCGCATGTGCACTATCACAGCATGCTGCAGCAGGGCCCTTAGGGATGAGTGCAACCCCAACACAGCCTCTATGGCTAGCCAGCATCAAAGGAATAATAGGTTTGCAAAGAATGTCCTCTGGTGCCAGGATTCAAGACAGCCCATCACATTCAGCACAGGTAAAAACTGGTGTGGGTGAGTGTGTGTGTAGGGGGGGGAGTAGCCAGGGGCCCACTGAACCTGAGAGACATAAGGATGTATCATCCAGGATAAACAGATCCCCAAGTTACAGCAACTTTCTGGACCAGAGAAAGAGAAAGAAGCAGGAGAATACTAGTGGGCATGCTTTGTTTGCTTCATTCCTTGAGTGAAGTATCAGACTCCCAAAGCTCAACTGTAATGCTACTGAAGAGGCAGGGCTTGCTCCTGATACACTTGGACTCTCCTGGTGTTAATTGCTCCCACCTAATTAGCTTGTTGTTTATATATTTTCTCCTGAGGGCAGAAACACGTACCCATGAAAGGCAAAGACCTGTGAAAAAGATAATCTTCCTGTGCACGAAGCCAAACTTTACAGTGGAGCAGTGTGGCCCCTTTTAATGACTGCACTGTCTACTGAGTTAATTGCCCCAAGGTCAGGCATGAGAGTAAATGGAGCTGCTAGAGGAATAGTTGTTCTGTGGGGAATCAGAGAGGTGGCAAGCAGAGATTGGAGTGTTATCTACCAGTCTTTGGAGTCTAACTAGGAGAGCATACACTAGCAAGAGAGAGCCTCCAGGGAAGATGGGGCCATCTTCCTCAAGCACAGTCCTTTTCTCACAACAGAAAAGGCTACATAATGAATCCACATAGCAAAATTAATATATGAGTGTAAGCACATACTAGTGCACCCCTGTGTACTTTATCCACCAGCGAAGATGCTGTGCAATGGGTTTTATCACATGGTAGCAAGCAGAGTATGTACCTAGGCTCCCTAGAGGGTTTGCAACCTGCTTGCTAGCCTGCAAATGCTGACGTGTCTTGGGTGGCACTGGTTGTTGTGCTAGCTAGATTGGTTTAGCAGGGGTCTGCTAGCACATGCTGCAGCCATACCTCCATTTTTTCTTTGCCATCATACATGGAGAGATGGCTTCTTTGTTGCCTGTATGCTGTACATGGAAGTATGCTTACAAAGCTGACTTCATAGTTTCATAGTTGGTAGGGTCAGAAGGGACCTGAGCAGATCATCAAGTCCGACCCCTGCCGTGGCAGGACAGAGTACTGTGGTCAAACAACCCCTGCTAGGTGGTCATCCAGCCTCCTTTTAAAGACCCCCAGGGTAGGAGCCAGCACCACTTCCCTTGGAAGTTGGTTCCAGATCCTAGCCGCCCTGTCAGTGAAGTAGCGCCTCCTGATGTCTAGTCTGAATCTACCCTCTGCCAGCTTGTGACTGTTATTTCTTGTCACTCCTGGTAGCGCTCGGGGGAACAGGGACTCCCCCAATGCCTGCTGGTCCCTTCTGACTAGTTTGTAAACGGCCACTAGATCCCCCCTCAGCCTTCTCTTGTGGAGGCTGAACAGGTTCAGGTCCCTTAGCCTCTCCTCGTAGGGCCTGCCTTGCTGCTCCCTGATCATGCAAGTGGCCCTCCTCTGGACCCTCACAATGCTGTCCACATCCGTCCTGAAGCGCGGCGCCCAGAACTGGATGCAGTACTCCAACTGCGGACTGACCAGTGTTGCATAGAGGGGGAGGATCACCTCCTTGGACCTGCTCATGATGCATCTGTGGATGCATGATGAGGTGTGGTTGGCCTTCCTGACCGTGTCCCCACACTGTCGGCCCATGTTCATTTTGGCATCAATAGTAACTCCAAGATCCTTTTCTGCCTCTGCACTGATGAGAAGGGAGTTCCCCAGCCTGTAGGTATGCTGCTGGTCCTTCCTCCCCAGGTGCAGTACCTTGCACTTGTCAGTGTTGAAACCCATCCTGTTTTCATCTTCCCACCCCTGTAGCCTGTCCAGATCTGATTGCAGCCTATTCCTTCCTTCTAGCGTGCCCGCTTCTCCCCACGTCTTAGTGTCATCTGCAAATTTGAACAGGGTGCTTTTTACCCCCTTGTCCAAGTTGCTGAGGAAGATGCTGAACAGTGCGGGCCCGAGGACCAAGCCTTGGGGGGACCCCACTGCCCACATCCCTCCAGATTGAATAGAATCCGTCCACCACCACTCTCTGGGTGCAGCCCTCCAGCCAACTAGTGACCCATCTGACTGTGTAGGCATCGACACCACAGTCTCCTAGTTTTTCAATGAGAATGGTGTGAGAGACCATGTTGAAGGCTTTCCTAAAGTCCAGAAAGACTATATCCACCGCGACACCTGCATCCAGGGATTTGGTGACCTGGTCATAGAAGGCCACCAGGTTGGTCTGACACGACCTACCTCTAATGAACCCATATTGGTTGCCCCTAAGCATAATCTCCCCTGCTGGCCCCTCGCGTACATGCACCAGGATAATTTTCTCAAAAAGCTTCCCCAGGACCGAGGTAAGACTAACAAGCCTATAGTTTCCTGGGTCCTCCTTCCTCCCTTTTTTGAAAATGGGAACCACATTGGCCCTTTTCCAGTCCTCCGGCACATCGCCAGAGCACCATGAGTGCTCGTAAAGCCATGCCATGGGTCCCGCAATGACCTCTGCTAATTCCCTCAGCACGATGGGGTGGAGATCGTCAGGACCAGCTGATTTAAATACGTCCAGCTCCTCCAGAAGTTCCCTGACTAGGTCCTCACTGACCCTAGGCCTGGGTGCACCTCCCCTGAGGCCTACGGGGGTCCCAGTGGTGGGGAATGACCCAGTCCCTGCTCAGAAAAATGGAGGCAAAGAAATTGTTAAATAGGTTAGCTTTGCTGTCTGGTGTGACAACCAGATTTCTTAGCATGTCCTGCAGAGGCCCCATGTTGCTTGGTACCTACTTTTTACCCCCTATGTATTTAAAAAAGGACTTCTTGTCTTTGATCCGGGTAGCTAGTCCCAGTTTCATCTCCACCTTGGTGACCGTCCCCCTACAGTCCCGAGCAACCGGGGTATAGTCCTCCCTGGTGATGGCCCCTCCCTTCCAATGTGTGTACACCTCCTTTTTAGCTTGGAGACGTTTCCGGATGCTTTTGGTGAGCCACGGGGACCTTTGCGCCCTCTTACCCTCTTTGATCCATGTAGGGATTACCTCCCTTTGGGCTTAGAGGATCATCTCCTTCAGGAATGACCACTCTTCTTGGACTCCCAACTGCCCACCCCTCCGTGACCTCAGTGCCTCCCCCATTAATCTCCTTACTTCATTGAAATCCGCCCTCCTGAAGTCCAGGGCTGCTGCCTTGCTGCAGGCCTTTGCCATTTTGCGCTGGATGGTGAATTCCAACAGGCGATGATCGCTGTTGCCCAGGTGGTCAAGCACCCGCAGTCCCCCAACCAAGTCGTCACCTGTGGCCAGGACCAGATCCAACAAGGCCTCTCCCCTGGTGGGGCTGTGCACCTCCTGGGTTAGATGGAGGTCGTGTATCTCAGCTAGGAACCTAAGTGAGCGGTCAGACCTGACTGACTACTCTTCCCAGCAGGTGTCTGAAAAGTTTAGGTTGCCCATGATGACCACGTCCTTTGACCTAACTGCCTCCGTGAGCTGACTTAAGAATTCCCGGTTTAGCTCTTCCCCTTGGTTGGGTGGTCTGTAGTAGACCCCCACCGTTAAGTCCCTTTCCCCTCGACCTCCTTGTATTCTAACCCAGAGCACTTTGGTCTGCCCCTCCTCTGACCCAGTGCTGTTTGCTGAGGATGTGTATTGCTCTTTGGCATAGAACACCACACCCCCACCTTTCGTCCCTGTCCTATCTCTCCTGTACAGCCTGTAGCCCTTGATGTTCACCACCCAGTCATGCGTTGGGTCCCACCACGTTTCAGTGAGCCCCATTATGTCTGGGTTGGTGTTAGCTAGCTGGAGAGCAAGTTCCTCCTGCTTGTTCCCCATACTGTGAGCATTTGTGCAGAGGCATTTGAGGCCTCCTGAACATGCATGCACTGCCCCACTAATCCCAGTACTACCTGGGCCCCTGTTGCTTACCTGGGTATTTGTTCTGCTCGTCATCGGTCTAGGCTGGGCTGCTTTTGTGGGTGATGCTCGGTTTGGTAGTCCAAGGCTTCCTCCGCCCTCGTCTTCCCCTTCCCCCAACGAGCCTAGTTTAAAGCCTGCTGGAGAAGACTTGTGGCGGCCTCCATTCCTATGTTCTACCAACTTATTCAGTGAGCTTTATAAGCCTTTGCTGGGCCGTGGGATAAAGGGATGAGCTCTGAATGGTGGTCACCTAGAGCAAGAGGCAATGAAATGTGCCAGTTACGAAGTAGGTTTTAGAATGCCATACTGTGCCAGACAGGGACATGTAACTTCCTTGAACTGGATGAGTTTTAGAAGGAGTCAGTTCCTAGCCTCTTCACAGCAAATTAAAGCCAGTTAAAAACTCTTCCCTTTCCAACTCCCTCTGCAATGCCTCGTCAGCCACCTAGGAGTCAAATCAATCAGGAGTATGCATCTCCCCCACTGCTTGGTAGCACATCTGGCCAAACAGCTGGATAGCCACTGAGCAGGGGGAAAAGGATGCTGGGGGGATCCCCAGTAGTACCATTTGCCTGTTTGCCATCATCCAGAACATCTGGGTTTGCACTGCGAGGCAGCCTCGTAAACCGCCTAAAGTGCCATCACGTCCCCAGCGCTCCAGCTGGTGCGGGGGAAAAGGGGGTGGGGGCATAGGGGCTGGACTGGGAGGGAAGTCTAGCAAGCCCGCAGGGTGCCATTTGTTTTGGAAATTGCAGAATTAGTGTCAGCGAGCAATGTGCATCCTGTTGTGTGATCTTCAATCAGGGTGATAGGAAGAGAAAAACACATTTAAGTGGTACACCTGCTGCCAGCTTGCTGTTCCTTGGCCTCTGTGCCATGCTGGCCTGATATCAGAGAGAAGAGAGCAAAAAGGGGCAGGGGGCACTGCTGGGGAGGCTTCTTGTGCTTCTACCTTTTGCTTTGAGGAGTCTAGGAAGGTGGTTTCACATTTGAGGACATATGGGCTTGGTGTCACTGTAACCCCTGCTTCCCCCCTGTGCCTTGTAGTTCTGCTCAATGGCCAGTATGTGCAAGCTGTGATCCTGCTGGATGTGTCCACCTCCAGCCATCTAATTGTCCTGTATCCAGTTGCTTAAAGCACCTTGTGCTTGAGAGCAAGCACCCCCTGCCACTGCATTTTTGAAGCTGTACTTCCACACCAGGTTCTCCTGCTCCCCTGAGTCCTGCCCTGCAGAAACTAGTGCTGGGCTGCTACATAGCCATGCCATGCACCTCAGTCCTGATCCACCCCTCCCCTCACTACTCCTGTCCAAATATATGGAGTCTAATTGAATCTTTTGATGAAAATTGGCTCCATGCAATGCACAGATGGGAGATGCAAACAGGTTTGTTATTGTAAGGTTAGTGCCGCCTTCTTGAAATACTGCCAGTTTAGGTGGGAATATCCTGTGCAGAATTAAGTTGCTAGTTCCAGGCTGTCTTCATAGCTGAGCAAAAGGTTTTCAGTTCCTTTAGGCAGAGTCTTTGTCACACTGTTGCTTTTTGTCATGCCAGTGCCCAACAGGACTCAGCCCGATGAAGGATGGCACCGGTTGCTATGATCGACACATTGGGGTAGACTGTTCGGACGGCTTCAATGGCGGCTGTGAGCAGTTGTGTCTCCAGCAGATGGTGCCCCTGCCAGAAGACCCCACTCTGTACAATATCCTCATGTTCTGTGGGTGAGTGACACAGCTCGCTCCATCATCTGTCAGACAGGGACATGGTGAGGAATCCATGTGATCTTGGACCTGACATGCTCCAAAAGGAATTGTATGGCATTTGTCTTCAGACCCAGCAGGTCTGATTCTGCTAACAGTCTTATGATGCATTCCTCTGGACATCCAGCACTTCAAGTGTCACCCAGCTATATAGTTGTATACATATTCCAAGCTATCTGGAAGGGTGCACATGTGTGTTGGGTGGCTGGAGCTTACCTCTTCCTTAGACAGCTGTACACTGTGTGGCCAAGATCATGGATTATGGAGGAACACCAGAACACCCTGCCTCCTCCTTCTTTGCAGGCCATCACTGAGATTAGCAAGAGAACCCCTCCCACCCCCACCGGGGCAAGCTGTATTCTTTTCCTTGGGGAGAGCAAACAGGTATATGTTTATGAGCTTATGCTACCAGCTGTGAAATAAGATCATTCTTTCTACTTGAGATTTTCTGCACTGTAACTTATTGTAACCAAGTGCTACACAGTATGGCTCTGGGTTGCCTAGGAAGCTAGCTCTCCCCAACCCCATGGGACCATGGTTGGGAGGAAATTTGAACAAAACATAAATACTGGGTATAGTTTCCTAATGGTCAGAGGTCTTAATGAACAAGGCTGAATACAGGCGGCTGGAAAAGCACTAGTCTATTGATTACTTGCCACTGACAAAGCAGCTTTGTGGAAATAGGAGCTTTCTGTCTCTCATGCTTGTGGCTCCAGGGGCTGCATTGTTCCCTGGGGACTGCAGAGGAAGTCCCCTCTTTCCTTCCTGTGATGCCCTTCCTCTGCCACCCCTCTACTGAATGGATTGGCTTGGTCCCTCGTCCTAATGACTTGTTTTGGGTTTTCTCATCTGGCAGGTGCATAGAAGACTACAAACTTGGAGTGGATGGGCGATCGTGCCAGCTGATCTCGGAGTCCTGTCCAGAGGGGGGTGACTGTGGAGAGAGCCGAGAGCTGCCCATGAATCAGACTCTGTTTGGGGAAATATTTTATGGATACAACAACCACTCAAAGGAGGTGGCTCCTGGACAGGTGTTGAAAGGGACATTCAGGTGAATAGGGCACCCATGTCCCCTCCTTACACATGCCCTTCTGCTTTGCTGATCTGAGAACACTTAATGAATCTAGGAAGCTGTTCCAAGTCTCAGGAGCACAGTGTCATAATTCCCCAGGTGGAGTTGGGGTCGTAGGAGTAGTTATTAGACATTCAGAAGTCATTTTTATGTGATGGCTTTTGGACTGAAAGTGAATGCGGGTGTGTGAGGGGGGAGCAGTTCACAGTCCAACTGTCACAAACTCATTACTGTATTATGCTAGGGCTTTGCAGCAGTCTCAAAAGGAAGGTCGGATTAAAATAGACTTGGAGAGATTGACCATCCTTTTAAGTTGAGTGGCTGTGGTGGCAACACTGAGCTTCCAGTGACCATTCAGCAGTTGATCTATTCTGATAGCAGAGGGGTCTTTAATCTAGCAGATGAAGGCGTAATTGGATCCAATGGCTGGGAGAGAAAGCTATACAAATGCGTGCTAGAAATAAAGAGCAGGTTTATAATTATTGGAACAGCTTGCAGCTTGGTGGATGGTTTGTCACCTTGAGGTTTTAAATCAAGGGTAAGCATCTTTATGAAAGAGATGCTGTAGCATAACCAGAAAGGAAGGGCTTGGTGCAGAAATTGCTTGGTGGAGTCTTGGACTTGCTTTGCAGGAGTTCATACTAGATGAGTAGTGGTCCATCCTGGTCTAAAACCCTATGTCTCTGAGGACAGATCTCATTCTTCAGAACTCTGGATCTAGCCCCTGAATTTCAGACATACACACATCTGGAGTACTGTATCCAGTTTTGAGCCTCCTACTATAGAAAGGATGTGGACAAGTTGGAGAGAGTCCAATAGAGAGCCACAAAAATGGTTCAGGAGCTAGGCTCATGACTTACAAGGAGAGACTGGGGGAACTGGGCTTATTTAGTCTGCAGAAGAGAAGACTGAGGGGGGATTTGATAGCAGCCTTCAACTACCTGAGGGTGGTTCCTAAGAGGATGGAGCTGGACTGTTCTCAGTGGTGACAGATGACAGAACAAGGAGCAATGGTCTCAAGTTACAGCAAGGGAGGTTTAAGTTGGATATTAGGAAAAACTTTCTCATTAGGAGGGCTGTGAAGCACTGGAACAGGTTTCCTAGAGAGGTGCTGGAATATCTGTCCTTGGAGGTTTTTAAGGCCCAGCTTGACAAAGCCCTGGGTGGAATGATCTAGTTGGGGATGGTCCTGCTTTGAGAAGGGGGTTGGACTAGATGACTTCCTGAGGTCCCTTCCAACCCTCATTTTCAATTATTCAGTGACATGTGATAACTCTCTGGAATTTCCAGGCTGAACAACTTTGCCCGGGGCTTGGAGCAGCAGCTTCCAGATGGCCTGGTGGTGGCTACTGTCCCATTGGAGAACCAGTGCCAGGAGGAGTTGTCTGAGCCCACGCCTGATCCAGACTTCCTGACTGGTGAGTGATTCCAGCCATTCTGTTGGTCCTTACCTCCCATGCTTTGTTTTCGGAAGGCTGGGAAGAATTCTTGCTGCCCAGGTAACAAAGCAGAAGGGAAGGGGAAGGGTTTCACTGCCTGATTGCAGCTTTATCACTCTGTAAATGAAGGCAATCCTAATTGGTTTAAATGTCAGGTGATACCCAAGCTTAGGAGATCTCTATCCTGGATACCCCCATTCCTTGGTTAGGAGCCCTAGTTAAAGATGAGTGAAGTGTTGGCAAAAATGCCAACTCAGTAACATTTAAACATCACACACATGCCTCTCAATGTTATCTAATTGCTCACTTAATGGAAATATATTTTTAAAATTATTGCAACAATTTGTTTTGCTGCCTTTGCGCATTGAGATGTTTTGATGTTTGGTTTCATATAAGTTTTCACTTCAAAATTTCCTTTTAATTTTATTTTTGTAAAAATCCAAAAATATTTAAAGGTCTTTGAAGGTAAATTAAACATTTCAATTTGCAGTTGAATTAAATATTTCATTTCAGCCAGACAAGATTTTTTGAGGCTTTTCAATTATCAAATAACCAAAAAATATGTTCTCCCAATTCCAGTCCTTGTGTTGTTCCCTTTTCCTCTCTAACCTTTTGGGGGTTCATCAAACAATCATGGTGGACTAGAACCTTCCCCTGCCATCCAGCTGCCTGCTGTAGTGCTATACTCCTATACCTAGAAACTACTTGTTCTTAGTCATTACAGTAGTCTGATCTGAACCAGTGCTAAGCACTGTACAAACGTATAACAAGGGACATGCTTACTGCTCAAAAGTGTGTGAAGTCTAATAGAAAAATAAACATACTATGGAAGAGGAGACTAAGATAGAAAGAGGTTAAGGGACTTTTCACTGGTCATGGAGCATCTCAGTGGCAGAGCCAGGAAGAGAACCCGGGTCTTCTGTGTACCAGCCTACTTCCCAACAGAAAACTATCAATAGCGAAGTTGACAATCTAGCCTTATTTTCATTATCCTGTACATCAGCACCAGTGGTAAAGACTCTACAGGTTAAACGCTGGCCTCCTTAATGCCTCTCACAGCCTCTCCCCCATTGACCTGAAATACACTTTCCATTTCACCGTGCCCATCTCCAACATGCTCAGGCAGGTATAACAAAAGCTATGATGAGAAGTCCCCATAATTACACATGCAGATTTGTAATTGGATCTTAGTTAACAATTCTGTTGATGAGGCACAAAGCTGAAAAATAAGTCAGTTCATTCTCCCAGAGCTGTGCTGGCTCTTCCTGGCTGATAGTAGTTAAAAAACAGTAAAACCATATTTTTTTACTAAAGTAAGCAGATTCTGGTATTGCTCTGAATACACTTGGGGCAGAGCTGCTGAGTAAGAAGGGGCCATTTTTGCATAATCACTTTTCAGAGAACACTTTAAAGTAATCAAGAATAGCAAGCGCTGAAGGGAAAAGAATTTAAAGGCACAGGCACTTTTCCTTTTCTTCAACATCATTTGTTGTTGGTTGGGAGATGGGACTTTAGGTGCTATTTTGATCCTTAAGGCATCCCTTGACAGGGACAGCTTGTTACTTAATTTGTTTGCTAACCAGACTCTAGGTGCTATTGTCTCATTGTAGGTGAGGATGTCATAGGAAAAAAAACAGTTGCTGAGAAACACGTGGGCTAGAATGGTGTAGTCCTCTTTGTGAAATGCGTGTATTGACCAGTCCATCTTTCCTCCCTACCTTATGCTGGATGGAATGCCAGAATTAGTCAAAGGAGAATAATTGTAATGCCAGTCCTTAGCAGCGGTGTCTAAAGATTTAAGCCCCTATAGTAGTATAGCTAAGATAAATTCTTCTTTAGTTGAAGGGATGAAAGCTTTTCTTTCTGGAGCAACGTGTCTTAAGTTCTGGTACTGATCCCCCTTATGTGTGATGGTTCCAGTGCTGAACCATGTCATTTGGAAGTTCCCACCACTGGATTCTTTCCCGTTACGTGGATTAGCTTTTGTGACTCCTTTGTTTCTATGGATTTATGGCTTGCATGTTTGCCTCTCCCAGCACTAACCCCCTCCCTCACATCTTTATTTCTCTCTCTCTCTCTCTCTCTGCCTCTTTGCCTGCTTCTGCTCTTGCATTTGAATTTATCTTTTCTTATACACAGCTTTGAGCATGTGCTTTCACAGCAACTGATGGAGTGAGTTTCTGCCCATGAAAGCTTGTGCTATATCTATGTGTCTGTCTGTCTACCTACTTTGGTTACCCAGCTTTGGTTAGTTTATAAGGTGCATTTTCCCCCCTTACTTCTACCTGACTTCAGACTAAGACTTCTGTGTCTCCCTGCTCATGTTTGTCAAATTAGTCACCAGAACTAATGGTTGGACAAAGTGTCCCCCACTGTGATGTGACCTGTGTGTTGCCTGAGATTGAAGCTGGCTAGCAGCCTTTCTTAACTGCTAAGATGTGCAGCAGGCAGGGCATGGGTGTTTCTGAGAAATACCTAGCCATGATACTACCTTGGTCTTGCCCTACAGCAGTATCAGCTGTACATCTTGACCAGAAGCACCCATTGTTTTTCCATTCTGTGGTTCTTTACACAGCTCTGCTATCTCACCTCAGTTCTGCGCTTCAGTACCCCAGGTACTGTTGCTAGCAGATAGCTGCTGGGTATACCCTGCATGTTACATCATATTGTTATGGGGTTTTATACATTTATTTAATGTGATACACTCAGCTGTACATCAGATAATACCCTGAGACTCAGCAAGCTTATCCCCATAAGTGGTGTCTCAAATCCAAATGTTAATATGCTTTTATACGCTGCTACATTCCTGGCCCTGTTAATTGGTTCTTCTTTTCTGGATGGGACACCAATCAACATGATTACAATGCTTTAACATGCTTTGATTGCATTAGGAATATTGCGAGGCATTTGGAAGGTGCTAGGGATTGAGCTCTGCGTTATAGGTCTCACTCTGGAAGGAATGAACTATGGCTGGCTGGGACTTTCTGAACTGCTTAAGGACATTAGCTGCATAATTTGCAGGGAATTCAGGTGACTAAATCCCAGATTATATATCAACTACAGACAAATTACAAATAGCCAGTTGGATCACTTGGAAGATGATACCTTTCTAATGTATAAAGGGAAGAAGCAAATGGCAGTTTATGTGAAGTCTTTATTCCTAGGTATGGTTTTCTGCCTGCTTACTGGCAGCTGTTAAACAGGACTGCAAACACTTGTGTAATTGGCTACCAAGCATTCCAGCCATGACTGAATGAGAATTGCTAGTGTATGAAAATGGAGTCTCATATGTGTCAGCAAAGAGTCTGATCCCAGCAACAGGAACTGTGTTCTGCAGCTGCTTATAAACTGGAGATAGATCTTCAGTGTCGGGGAAAAAAATCCTTTTTGAACCTCTTACATGACTGCCTCCAAAGGTGCCATCAGTTACCTGCATCAGAGTTGGCATATAACAACAGACCTTGTCATTGGCCATTAACAAAAAGGATACCGGATAATGTTTTTTTTCCCCTTTAGGACAGCCACAGCAGTCAACTTCTTGCCACCACAAATTACTAATATCTGTGGTATAAATGGCATAACCTTCCTTATCACCAGCCATTGGCTGTGATCATTCCTAGCTGTTCCCTAGGTCTCTGATTCACCTGTCCTCTTTGAACCCATCGCTCAGCTTTGCTTCCTGTTGAAAATGGTCACTGAAGTGACTTGCAACTTCTGCCCAGCTCACAGCAGTGGAGATGTCAAAACATGTACAGACACTTCTAAAAGCACTCTGTCCATGTTTGACTTGCACACACAGACTGTGTTTTGCCATAACCATCCAGGACAGTCACTGGGAAGTACTGCACTTTTCCTTCTCTGTGTTTTATAGCACACATTCTCAACACAGTAGCCATAGCCATTAACATGCATGTTTAACAGAGTATTTAATAAATTTATTCTTAAAGAATTTCTATATGCTGTCTTTGCATTTCTTATGGGTAGGACTTCAGGAGCCAGTGTTGGGGTAATTCCTTATCTTTTAAACAGAGATATTGGGTAGTCAAGGGGCAAGACAACAGACTGGGGTTTTTCACTGGAGCAGAGCACTCATAAAGACTGTTGCCTACAATGGTTGTTCCAGATGCTTAGAGAAGAGGAGCCCATGCTATTAGAGGCTAGGCTCAAATCCATGCCTTCTCCTTTCCCCTGTATGTGATACTTGTCAGACAGGACGGGGGGGTCCCACTGGGCTCGCTATTGGCCGTGTCCACTCCCTCTAGCATGGAACAAGGGCCTGCAGCTTCCCATGATGTGGAATGAAGGCAGTGCACATGGAAATGCCCAGCTTGCCGTGCTTGGAGGATGGTTCATTAAAGAATCTAATTAGCAGAGTAATTAATACACAAGGGCATGCCTTTGGGACTGGCCTTCTGGGAAAAAAGGGCTTGTTATCTTCAGAAGTAGTGCCCAGGATGGAGAGAGGAAACAAACCCAAACAAACTCCTTTTAAAGTTGTGATTTTAATTACTGAAGAGTTGCTGACCCTCAAACCGTCTTTGAATAATTAGACTCTTCCTTCCTCCCATGGTTATTTCCTCCAGTTCATTTCTGCCCAGCCTGGCTCATTTTGTTGCCTCAAGCAAGATTTAATTGGGCAGCTTGTTAAACAGAACTTCCAGCCGGCATGCCCTCTCAGTGCAACACTGTCCTTTTGTAGTGAATCAGGCATGGGTAGCCATTTGCTACCTGGGGCATTAGCAATCCTCTCTGTGCTGAGCATGGGGTTTGGCATGTCTGTCAAGCAAGGAGCAGTTCACTGGGAACAGTAGTAATGATAATGCCTTATGGTTACAAAGCTCACCAGTGGGTGGAGAATTAGATCTAAGGCACTGGCTGGGGATTTGGGAGATACAGGTTCATATCCTGGCCCTGAAGTCTGCCTTTGACAAGTCTATTCATTCTTCTCTTTCATCTTCAGCTCTTGGTTTATGAAATTGGCACAGTTCTCCTTTCCTTGTACACTCATTTGGACTGACGATGTCTTACACAGTAGGTTTAATATTTATCTTACACAGCAGCACCTACTGCTAGGAGACTTCTCAAATGGGGCTTCTAGGGCCAGATATATGGCAATAGTAATAAGGCATCTTTAATTCAGAACAATTCCAAAACACTTCTCAAACTCAGGCTGAACCCTGAGATCCAAGCCATCCTTTGATGGTGCAAGAAAATGTAGAGGTCATTGATTGCTTCATCCCTTAGCAACGCACATCTGGTAGAAGAAAACCCACACTTTCTTTGTTGCGGTTAGCTAAGAGATCTGCACTGGAGGCTGCAGCAATGACACACCTTCACTAATGAGCACATCCAGTTTCTAGGCTGTCTCAAATTGGATGTGCTGAGCAGAATGCTGCTTTTTAAAATGCAAGAAACCACAGGGGCAGATAGGATCACAACTACAACACATCTTGTCTCCAATAGTGACCAGCACCAGCTATTTCAAAGGAAGGTTCAATACGCCCCATTGTATATAATTATGGAACACCTTGCTCATAGGGGTGATTTTTTCCTAACTTCTCTAATCTCATGTTTGGCTTGTGCTCTTTAAAAGGAAAGTACATGGGAATTCCCAGAGGGTCCTGGCATTGACCACTGAAGATGATGGAAGAGCTCTTACTGAGTTCATAGGGGCAGAGTTAGGCTAACACTTAGGGTTTTTGGAAGCTCCCACTTGCCATTTCTTAAAGCAGCCCTCTCATGCCAGATATGTGTGTTGGGAATGATCTTGGGCTCTATCCCTGAACCTCTTTACTTTCTTGGGTACATCTCCTTTAACAGCCAGACATAATGCACTGCATGGTAGCTGGCAGACTCTCTGCCCTTCCCATGCTGAGGGCATTTGTGTCCTGTCTCCTTCAGGGATGGTGAATTTCAGCGAGGTGTCTGGATACCCTTTGCTGCAACACTGGAAGGTTCGCTCGGTCATGTACCACATCCGCCTCAACCAGCTGACCATCTCTCAGTGTAAGTATGCTGGGACAGAGGCTGGCTGGTAAATAGCCTTATGAATTATTTGGATGAATTGAGGGCTATGGCCATTAGGGCTATGTGACTCTTTGGGTGCTGATTCGATTTGGAGGAGATTCAACCCAATTCGGTGGCCAAATCGCTGAATCTGAATTGAATCAGGAGACCAATTAAAAGGTTTGAATCGATTCGAAGCTCTTCAAATTGATTTGGAAAAGATTCGGAGAGCTTTGGTGATTTGGGCAGTCCTGGCTCGCTGTAGCAGGGAGCTGGACCCGGACTCCATGCTGATAAGGAGGGGGCAGGGAAGTGGGGGGCTGGAGGAGGCGGGGAGGGGACCATGGGGGGACCCCTGCCAGTCCCCGACCCCTGCCCGCTCTCCCAGGCCTGCTATGGCTGCCCCACCCAGCCCCAGCTCCCGGCTCGTTAAAACAAAAGCCCCCACTCACTGCAGGGCAGTAAGACTAAAGAAAGGACCTGTGCAGAGTGCCCATGGTCTGAGGGATAGAGCAAGGGGCAGGGATGGGCAGGTTTGAAGGGGGCTCTGCCTCCACACTCTCTGAGACGTCACCAGTGCCTTCTGTTCATTGTTGCTTTGCTGTGTATGTCCTCTCCAGCTTTCAGCAATGCCCTCCATTCTCTGGATGGAGCCACTTCCCGAGGAGATTTTGTGGCCCTCCTGGACCATTTTGGTAATCACTACATCCAGGAGGCAGTCTATGGCTTTGAGGAGTCTTGCTCCATCTGGTATCCCAACAAGCAGGTCCAGCGACAGCTCTGGCTAGAATATGAAGACATCAGCAAAGGTAGGAATGAGTGACCAAGACCTGCCCGCTCCTGCAGGTCTCCACATGCAGGCAGAGGCAAGTAGTTTGGAGTCGAGCCTGAGGAGCTCCCTCCCAGACCAGCTTGTGCACTGCTGCATCAGAGGTGCATTTTGTTACCATTATCCTGCAGTGTCAGACCAAGTGAAAGGTGGGTTGTTTTCTCCTCTACATGCCCTGCTTGGATTCCTTTGGCCAGTTGCAGCTTGCTTTGGGATACAGGCAAACTGCCTGGTGCAGGGCATCCTTCGAAGTCAGTGGAATGCCTCATAGTAGGCACTGGATCAGGCCATTGACAAACAACATACCACAGTCTCTAGCAAGGTGTATTAATTCCACTAAGCCTTTTTGTCTGCTTTGGGACCTATTTGTTGCTTATCTTTTGTCTTTTAACCTAATCTAATTTAATCTCTTTGTCTCCTTCCACTTCTGCACTCTTACTTCTGGGTTTTGAGATTGGATTTTCCTTCCAGTGCAGTGATTTTATTCTCTCAGAACCTGAGCAATTTATTTTTTTTTAATTTCTAGAAACCACTTATGAAGTAGTCACTGTACAGGACATGCCAAGAAACAGAGAGCTAAGAGATGCACACATAGCTGCTTAGTTTTGCCTGGTTGAAGCTAGTTGGGTTGGTTAGAGAACTCATCATAGAGACTGAAATGGAGTTTAATTTTGCAAACTGATACTTTGTGCAAATATGAGGTGCTTTTGTACAGACAGGAAATTTCAAGTCCAAGATGTGGAGGAGCAAAGGCTAATGTGACATACCAAAGCACTATGTTCATGCAAGCAAGTACAGGATCTTTTGGCATATGAGTATGGGTATCCCTTAATGGCAGGATTTCAAAAGATTTGAGGCATGTAAGTGCCCAACTGCCACTGAAAGTCAGTGAGAGTTAGGTGCTGTCTTTCTGTTTGTGCCTGCGAAAATCTCCCTCCAGCCATCTCTTTCTTTCTCTTATATGCTGTCTCCCTCAGATATTTTTGTTCCTGCAGTAATAGAGGCAGTACTCTGTAAGCAGGACCAGCTGTGATATTGTGTGGGACTCCAGTAGCCCTGTTCTACTTCTGTATGACACTGGTCTTCTTGCGGCTGCTTGTCAGACTTCTCATTTGACTCTTTAGATGCAACAGGACTTCCCAGGCAACACTTCTGTGCTGAGGCGTCTGCTGTTGCTCAGTGGGGCTGCTGCTTTTTAGAGTCAGAATGCAAGGGAAAATCTTGAATTTGTCTCTCTGCTTTCAGAGGTGTAGAACAGGGATGATCAAGATAGGGCTTGCAGAGCCGTGTCGTCTGGTCTGTGGGGTTTCCCACAGATCCAGAAATTTGGCGGGGGTGAAGTGGTGGCAACATTGATTGCTGTGACTGGGAGCTGCAGCAGTTAGTGGTGCTGCTGTTCATCCTGCTGCCAATGTTCTGGCCCCACAGACTGGCCCCATGTGTTGGATCAGGCCTGTGAAGCTGTATGAGTTGGGCACCACGTGTGCAATTGATACATGGACTTTCATCTAATTTGGTTATAATGTAACAGTTTGTGGGCATGTTGCTGAAAACCATTTGGAACATGTACTTGCAAGAGATGAACTAGACAGCCCGACAGATAGAATTACACACCTTAGGGATCGAAACAAACTGTTGGCACTAAAATAAACTTACCAGAATGTGTGCTGACCTGGCTGGGTAGAAGTCAGGCTTGGGTGCCTCTCTTGTGTGACTTGTGGATTCATACAGACACTGAAATGGATTTTGCCCATCTTTCCTCCCATAGCATAAACCCACTGTGGTTCTGCCATGGGCAGCTTGAGTATAGCATGCTTTTTTGCTATTTTCTTCAGTTTTATTTTTCAGACTGGGCCTTTTTAGGTGTCTTGGATTCTCTCTCCTCTCCACAACAGTATTGCATGTCATTGTCACTCCAGTTCTGGCACCTGCCATTTTCACTTCTTAGCTATTTTGTTGGTGAATGCCAAGAGCTAATATTGATTGAAAAATTGCAACAGACAGACCATTCTCTGTAGCTGCTGCCTTCCCCCCTGTGCCTGCCAAGCTGCAATTCAAAGCTATCCCAAAGTGGTCCATTTTCAGCACAATGGGGAAGCTGGGAAATGGTCTTGTCTCCTTTTTTAGTTTAAACAGGCTTGGGGTTTTTTTTGTGCGTGTCTCAGAGCTAAGCCAGCACTATCCTATTTCTCTGCAAAATGTTTTAAAAGTAAGCTTCTTAGAGCATGGACAGAGGAAAACTGACTTGTTAACTGCATGCCAAAAATAAACAGTAGTTGCACAGATCATACTGTTGGTTCAGGGCTGAATTTCTGGAAAAACCTCTGGAAGCAAATGTATGATTGATATGGAATTGTTAAATTCTATCAGAACCTGTGGCCTTGTGCCAGAAGAAACACACAATTTAATAACCCAGTCTTTAGTCACTACTACCTTCTGTTCCTTTTCTCATTCTTCCTGCCCAGATCAGCAGCACCAGAGATGTTTAATCCTAGATAACAGAGATACAATTTAAGAACCTAATCTCTCAGAGTCAATTGTTACAGCTGTAGACAGGAACATTTGTATGCAATCTCCAGCTACAAAAAAAACAAGGGCCATGATGATGTGAAGACCTGTAGCCTAACTGCTGTTGCTAATCAAAAGCTCCCCATAGCATTACTCCCCTAAGTATTTGTCCTGTAGGGTGAACTTATGCATCATGATGTTAAGTCTGACACAACTCCATACAAAAGGTCATAGACTAGGTCCTTAGCTGTTGAAGATTGGCATGACTCCACTAACTCCAGTGGAGCCACACTGATTTACACCAGCTAAGAACAGGGTATTTCACATCCTGCTGATCTCCATACAAATTTTGCTGGGCAGTAAGTATACACATGTGTTGTACTTCAGTGCCACAACACTGTAACCCATTGTGACATAAAGGCAGTGTTGGAATTCTTTACCAACCTGTTGGAAGGATGCAGCTTCATCTCATTCAATTCAATGCCAAGGATCAAGGTAATTCTTGTTTCTCCCAGGGCTAAACTGTGCTTTCTCTGACATCAGTATAAATCCAGGGCAATTCCAGTTGCTTTAGTAAGGTTACTCAGGCTTTGTGCTGGTGTTACTGAGAGCAAGGTCCTAACCACAGTATCATTCTTCAGTGAAGGGTGATTGTCAGTGGAAGGCTCAGAAATGACAGGCAAATCCTACCTTTCATCTCAGACATGATGAGTATTTTCACCTGGTGGAACACAAAATGCTCCTTCTGTGCAGGCACTCAGGAAGCTCCAAGTAGGGGACATCAATGCAGTTTCCTTTTAAGTGGAAAGGATCTGCCACTTTCTCCATTCAAAGTTAAAGGCAACGAAATGTGTCTGTAGATATGTCACTCAAAGTTTCCTTTCTCTTCCATTTTCCCTTCTCTTTCTAAGGGAGACATTAGCCTGGAGGATATACCAGCCAGGTGGGTATCTCAGTAGGTCCTGGTTTCATAGGAAATCCCCTGGCCTCCTCTGCCAGTTCAGTAGAAAACTGTTTCAAGACACTGCAAAATAGAGAGAAGCCACACTGCTCAATAGGAAGAGTGAAGGGATACGCAGTATTAAGGGCCCCAGAATCTCAAGATCTACTCATGTATTGCACCTCTGCTGCTGGATGCTTTCTGTTTCATGGAGACAGCCACTGGAAGTCAAATAGTTGGTTCCTGGGGATCTGAGTATTAATGTTATCTCCTCTCTGGGACATATTACTGTGATATGAAGTGCTATGGTATGAGCTCAAGAGCTAGGGTTGTTTATCTGGTCCTTAAACCAGCTGCTGTGGATTAGGCCCAAAGGGGAACTTATCACCAGGGATCCTAGCTTTCTCTGTTTAAAGACACAAAATTCTCTGATTAAAAAACCCCAAATCCACATTTTTGTACGATTAAAATGAAATACCACTATATGTATAGGTTTCATACTATATCTATATCTATATAGGTATCAGTTGAACATAGTGTTTTATTAATATACAGGGTCTTCATAAAGTCCTTGTGCACTTTTAAACTTTAATAACTTAGGCTGTAGGTAGGCTGGAAACAATCTGTAAATGGCATTTAAAAGCAAATTTATTAAAGTTTTAGGACAACTAGAGTACACAATGCTATACTTCATACGTAATAACAAACTTATTCTTAAATAAGATGGAGCTCCCTACCACTACGCTCTGCATATACGACAATTCCTAAATGACATTTTCCTAGAGAAGTGGATAGGCAGAGGTGGACCAATTGCTTGGCCACCTCATTCCATGAACAGCGCCTGCCCCTGGCAGCTAGGGCGGTATGGCTGCGCTGGCAGCGGTGGGAGTGCAGCGGCGGCAGCAGGAACATGGCGGTGGTGATCAGGGAGTGCTGCCAGCAGCGTCGGCCAGCAGCGATCACAGACTGCCTGCAGACACTGCCGGCGGTGTCAGTGGCAGGGTGGCGAGCGGTGACCACTCACAGGTGCCGCCGACATGTGCCTTTTTGTAGGGGGTGCACCGCCACGCTCAGGGGGTGCACCCACATGTGCCCCCTATGCGTCGCCCTTGCCTTGGTCAGCTGACCTGTCACCATTGGACTTCATTTTATGGGGACATGTTAAAAGTGTAGTTTGCTTGTCAAAACCACGTTCTTTGGTGGAACTTAGGGCTAGGATCACCCATGCAATTAGTGCAGTAACTCAAGAGCAACTTGGAAACGTTTTTAAGGAGCTGGAAGATCAGATTGAGCACTGTATCATGATGGATGGTGGTTATGTTGAAGTCTAGCATTGTGTACTCTAGTTGTCCTAAAACTTTAATAAATTTGCTTTTAAATGCCATTTACAGATTGTTTCTATCATACCTACAACCTGTTATTAAAGTTTAAAAGTGCACAAGGACTTTATGAAGACCCTGTATTTACAATTTTAAAGCAATTTGGAAACCTACCAGCATCTCAATCATTATAATAAAATAAATGCTAAGTAC